TCTATCCACAATCATTCGCTATCAAATAAAAAGATCAAATTTTTACCGAGAATACGACCCCAATTCAAGAAAAACAGGAGAATTACCTCTTGATCCATATCAGGGAACAACGACCTAAGGTGATCGATGGGCGAAACTACAACCGGCGGTGACGACACCAAGGGATTGTGCGGGGAGAAGTGAAGGGCGGAGGAGCACCGGATCCTCTTCGACGCTGGGCTGGGCGTGTGGCAGTCGTCCTCGAAGAAGCTCGCCGGCGATCTTTTGCCGCAAAGTAGCACAGACATGATGATGATCGAAGCTCAGAGCTTCAACTTGATTTTGGGAGGGGATCGATGGATTCTAGGGTTTGGGGAGATAGAAGGGGCGCAAATGGGGGGAGAGAGAGCGAGGAATCGGAGAAAACAGCGTCGTCTGGTTTCAAGATTGGGGGCATGTTTTCAATTCATAGGTAAATAACGCCTGGAAATGTTTTTATTGGGCCGGGCCTTGCTATGACTTCTTGTTGACCGAGTTGGGCTAGGCTTTAGTTCTACGCTGTTATTTTGATGACAAATTTTCAAAATAAACCCTTTTCGGAATTTATTTGTAAAAATCGATCCCTTTGAGATTTAATTGTCATTTTCGAGCTAGTTTTAGCCGGCTAGCTGAAACTGAGTCGAAAATGACAAGTTCAAAAACTTCACAGGATTTAAAATCTCGTGAAGTTTAGTGCCTCATAAACAGTGGTAATCAAAAATCTCCAATATTCACAGGATTTTAAATCGCGTGAAGTTGTTGGGAGATTTCTTTTTGAGCTGGCAGAGGGGAAGGAGGGAGCGAAGGAGGAGGACAAAGAGGTTGAGGATGAAGGGGATAATCGAGATGAGTATTTCTAATTTAGTGTTTTGGAGGTTGAATCAATGGCCTAAGCTGCTGTTGCCTCGTCTTCTCGTTTCTTGAATTGGGTATCAGAATCCATCAAATTCTGAACCAAAGCTCGAGCGGACTGCGGGGAGAGGGTCGAAGGGTCGGGGCATCGAGACGCGATCACAAAAGTCAGCGATGACAGCTCGAAGAGCAGCATTTGGGGTCAAGAAGAATGAAGGAGATGATGGGTCTAAGTGAGAAGATGAGAGAGGAGGGGTGAAGTTGAATTGGATGCAGGCCTTGAGGCAAGCTCGCTCGAAGGTGTGGCCTGCAGGGACAATGACAAGGTCAAACATGAGAGAGGACAAAATTGGGCATATAGAATTGAGGACAACCATACTTTACGGGATTCTAAATCATGTGAAGTTTGGTGGTTATTTTCACTAGTCTGGTTGTATTTTAATTAGATTGAGTAATTAGCACTAAAGTTCACAGGATTTAGAATCCCGTAAAGTTTTATTTACTATTTTCAACCTAGTTTCAGCCTAAGTCAAAAATGACAATTAAATCTTGAAGGGGTTGTGTTATAGGGTATCCCCTATTCTCCACAAATATGCAACCCCACAAGCCGACACCTTTACCCACTAGGCGAACCGGCTCGGAAGATACTGTTGGTCGACTTAAGGTATCTCGACCCCTCAGTCGAGCCGTCACTCCCCCAGTCGGGTCGGCATCATTCCTCAAGGACGACTCGAGGGGCGGACTCAGTCGATCCTCTTCATATCAAAGGATTACTACCCGGGTTAGCCGGCACTCCTCCCAAGGACAAATTGGAATATTACTTAAACAATATTTAACCTTTGATGATCATCATTATGTCTCCGTCCTCAGCCGTCTGAAGCATCGCCGGCTGCCAGTTCCCCATATCGCCGAAGTGACCTCCCATCACTCACTGACAAGCCTCGCCGGCTGTTGATTCCCAATATCATCGAAGTGGCCTCTCATCGCTCATAAACCGACACGTATAAAGCGAATGGTGACTCAGCCTCCAGCTCACCCCTCACCACCGTCTATGGCACACTCATGAAGTAACTAATCTACCATTGACATCCCCTATAAATACAGGCACTATTCGCCATAAAAAGAGAGAGGTCGTTCGGTTTTTCGCAAGGAGAAAACCCCCAAAAATAAGCATATACTACACAAAGAGAACACATTGTTCTTCGTTCACCCCGCTCAAGTTCACCAACTGACTTGATCGTCGGAGGTACCACGGGGGAAACAAACCTCGTCCTCTCACGATTCTTACATGTGCAGGTCATCCATCCGTCCCGAGCTCTAAGGACTAGACATAAAGTCGAAGTAGGAAGCGGCCTCATCTCTCATCCTCTCGCTCTTCGCCATCCGCGGATCTCTCACCGACTGTGTGATCTCGGACATCAACATGCCGATTTTTACAAATAAATTCCTAAAAGAATCTATTATAAAAATTTGTCCTTATTTTGACAACCCATGTGACGCGATCCAAATATATAACTGATGGCCCAAAACGAGCCTATATCGTTGTTGCATCCTTGTCTACGACCTTAAATGAATAAAATTAAATAGCATTTAAATACCTTTAGGTTCACTCACTTTGCAACTTATAAACCCTCACTTGTTTTTTACAACACATATATATCTTAAGTTGTTTAATATTAACATTTTGATATCCTCTATTACGCAGACATGAAAATTTTAACATGGATATTTTCATATATGGCACTACAATGTTTTAAAAGCTTCTACCAAGCCCGTGTAGGCCTAGGCGGTACGTAGCATGCCTGCCTAGATCTCGGTCATTATTCCTCTATTGCTACCTCCATGTTTCATAACCTTATAAACCCTCACTTTGCAACTTATAAACCCTCACTTGTTTTTTGCAGCACATATATACCTTAAGTTGTTTAATATTGACATTTTGATATCCTCTATTACGCAGACACGAAAATTTTAACCTGGATATTTTTATATATGGCACTACAATGTTTTAAAAGCTTCTGCCATGCCCGCGTAGGCCTAGGCGGTACCTAGCCTGCCCGCCTAGATCTTGGTCATTTTTTTCTATTGCTACCTCCATGTTTCATAACCTCCTCTAAACTCCCCCATGGTGCTGGAATCCTCCTACTCCTCTGACCTTTAGCAAAACTTCCTCCATCACTACTTAAAAGAAAATCTTCCCAACTGTTAAACGCGAGTTTGTCACCTAGCAATGCCTACCACTTTTGATAACATTGATAGTAATTAAAAAAATGCCTAGCCCTCGCCTAGGCATTGGGTCCAATGCCTAGGCTATCTAACGTTTTCTGTAATCTTGTGACATTGATACGAGTCACTGTGAGAGCACCATTGATCACAGAATTATCAAACGTGGGGTTGAGAAGAAAACAGCAGGAACACACAAGACAATTCAATTGGCGAAGAAAAATATCTTCTCTATATTATGAAGAATAAAAGATTACAAAATCTCTCCTCACAATCTCTCTAGAATAAAGAACAATCTCCCTATTCTCTTAAAAGTTCAATTTGATGTTTAGAAACCCTGAACAATCCCTATTTATATGTCTAACAACGTGGATGACAATCTCATAAATAACCAAGCCCAATAGAACTTGGAATCTGTGTCAAAAGGAATCCAGATTTACCCAGAAAACATGATCGGGTCGATTGGCCTGCTTGGTTCGGTCGACCGGACAGAGAGTTGGTTTTTAACCCTGTTAGGCGTATCTGTTTTTGGTCGACCGACGATGAGCGATCAGTTGACCGGTCTGGACTCATTTGTCCCGTGTCTCATCGTAGTCATCTTCTGCTCCAAAATGCAAACCTCTTTCAGCTGCTCTTCTCTATCGAACCACAAGTCTTCAACGTGCGGTAAGATCACTTTATCGTCACCCTCATCGTCCAACAATAGAGGCTCAAACAACTTCAAGTACTCGATATTAATCACCGAATACATGCCTAGGTAAGATGGCAAATCTAGTTTGAAAGCGTTGTCACTAATCTGATCAAGAATCTGAAACAGACCATGTCATATAGGCTTCAACTTCTTCTCTTTTCCTTTTAACCACTCCTTACTTAACTTCAGCCACACCATGTCACATTTGCCAAAATTAAAAGAAACTCGATGTTGATCATATTTTACCTTGTACTTTGGAGGCTCAAACAACTTCAAGTATTCCGCATTAATCACCAAATACATGCCTTGGTAAGGTGGCAAATCTAGATTGAAGGCGTTGTCAACAATCTGATCAAGAATCCGAAACGGACCATATCATATAGGCTTCAAGTTCTTCCCTTCTGCTTTTAGCCACTCCTTACTTAACGTCAGCCACACCATGTCACCTTTGCCAAAATTACAAGGAACCCGATGTTGATCATGTTTTACCTTGTACTTTGCTTGTGACTTCTTCAACTGAGCTTCAACCGTAGTGTGAATCTGTGCAATCTTCTCTAGAAATCATTGAGCCCATTGTTTTTCACTCCCTTCTTTACCGTCGGCCATAGCTTCACTAGAGAATATTAAGTCGAACGGACTTGGAGGTAAAAACACATAATACGTCTCAAACGGTGACTTTCCCGAAGATCCATGAATAGCCTTGTTGAAAGCAAACTGAATGTATGATAAGCTCTCATCCCAAGTCTTGGAATGTCTGGAATTATGCCCCCGCAACATGTGAACTATAGTCTGGTTGACTACTTCTGTTTGCCCGTCTGTTTGTAGATGAAAGGTCGTACTCTTCTTCAGTTTAGTATCCATCAAACTCCACAAAGAATCCCAAAAGTGCCCGAGAAACTGGCTATCCCGATCCGAAATAATTAAACTCGGCAACCCAAAGTGCTTCCACACATGTTCAAAGAATAATTACGCTGCACCCGCTCCCGTCACGATCATCTTACAAGGAATCAAAATCACCATCTTACTGAACCAGTCCACCACAACGTACAAGTAAACGTGCACGCGCTTGTTCGTCGGCAAACCTCCTAAGAAATCCATAGAAATACTCTCACACGGTCTCGAAGGTACTGGCAATGGTAAATACAATTCCCGCTTCGTGTTAGAAAGCTTCGAAATGTAACATAACTTACACCCTCCAACATACTTGGTAACATCCTCTAACATCTTCAGCCAAAAGACATGACGTCGTAGATTGAGAAGCATCTTCTGAATCCCAAAATGACCTTGCACACGTGATGTATGTGCCTCTCGAATCCACTGTAATCAATCGGCATCCTCCAGAATGCAAAGCGATATCCCACGATATAACAAACCATCGGCTCCGAGCTCATACTCCCCCCTTCGACCAGCCTTCACCTGCTCGAACACACTGTCGAAGTCTCTGCTAGATGTGTACATATGTACATACTCCAAAGGAACCTAGGGCTGAATACGCGTCACCACCAATAAAGCTCTAATTGGCGGTCGAGATAACATATCGACCAACTTGTTCGTTGCCCCTTTCTTGTACTTAATGACTATGTTGAACGCCATCAAATAGGTCATCCACTTCATGTGCCGTGCCTGCTGTAGCTCGTCTGGGTATGTAGAAACTCCAATGGCTTATGCTCTGAGTACACAACCACCTCCTTACCCAACAAATACACCCTCTAATGCTTGATCGCCTGATAGAGTGCATAAAACTCCTTATCATAGGTAGGATAGTTCAGAATAGCACCCGTAAACATCCGGTTGTTAAACAATTCCTAAGCCTCGTGCATGGTAATAACATTAGTCTCGATGCATGGATTTTGTAAGTTGATAGCTCCCGGTAAAATCAATATCTACACAACGATTCTAAGACAATGGCATCGACACAAAAAAAATATAAATTTCACAAACCTTGCAAAGTTCGTACAATACCTCCCACCAGACCTCAGCAACTCGCAGGTTTTCCAACAAACCATCGCACCGAACCGATCGAGTTGAAAACTAAAATCCGAGGGTCTGTTTGGTTTGACTGAAAATAAAGGCAGTGAAAACAAAAAGGAAAAAAGAAAATACGTTTATGCCGTTTGGTTATGAGGAAAGAGGAAAGGAAAGTGAAAACAAGAAAATGGGGAGGAAAACCCGACTATGATTTTCGTTCTCATTTTCTTCACTGGGACCTGGTGAAAATGAAGGAAAAAAGAGTACGGGCGCCCTCGACGACGCTGTTTGATCGTCTGCCCCAGCAAAAAGAGGGATTCATCACTGCCCTGACCAGGACCCCACCCCCTCTACTTTTAATTAGTGTGGGCCCCACCCGCAAAAAACTGGATGAAAAACCCCATCTTGATATCATGTGGACCCAATAGAAAGGGTTGCGAATTAATTAGCTGTAGCTTTAGGTGAAAAATGATTAGTTTCAAAAAAGATCGCTTGAACTTTTGGAGTTTTGCATATAACCGTTCAAATCACCCCTAGACTTTGAGGGGTTTTGCGTATATCCTCCCCTACCTTCTCTAATCCCACTAGACCCCTCGAATTTTTCACTTTAATCCCCAATGTAACTTAATAAAGTCTATCGCGTCTCGTGTCTAGCTAACTCAGACAAAAACTACTTTCTTTCTAATTTTCATTATAATTTTCTAGCTAAACAAACAACAAAAATAACCTTGTTTTCCATCTTCTCTTTCCCTTTCCTTTTCTCTCCTCTCCTATGTTCAACCGCCTTGAGAATTCAGCAAACGAAAAAATTGGCAGACAACATAAACAAGGACAACAACGGGCGGTAGAACCGTGCAAACTTCTAAACATGCATACTTTGTTTTCGGAAGTCATACGCAAAAGCTTTTTTGCTGTACGAACGGAATCCGGGTTATATGTACTGGGCAATTTCAGAAACATTGGAGTAATAATTTCAAGATTGATGTGTGATTCTCTTCCTTGTTGGGAGATAACTCTCCAACTCCAAGTTGGGTAAAATTACAGTAAACAACCTGAATCTTCTGGCATTCTCATCTCAATTCTCCCTAGTTGGAAGATACGACTCTCCCAAGTCGGGCAAATTACAGTAAGCAACCTGGCTCTCCTGGCATGGCCAACTCGTTCTCCAGAGTGTTTGTAACAAGCTAGATACTATAATTTTTCATAAGTTTATTCTCTATGGACAAAAATTATAAATACAGAGTTCTCACCACCTAAGATGACTCCCCAAGATCATTTGACAGCAAATATACACAGATGGATCGTGATTATGGGCTGAAAGAGAGCTTTCTGATAGAAAGACAATAATGAAGAATTCATCTTTCAAAGAATCTATTCAAAACAGATTTCTTGGAAGCGACTTCACCATCGCCTTTCTCAGGCTCAGCGACTGTTTTGAAGGCACAACGAAGGACGGAATTGACCTGCTTTCTCAGTTTAGCATTGTCTATTAGCGTTTCAGTTAGCATTCTTCTCGTCTCATCATCGGCTTTGAGTGAATCATCACCATTGGCCACAGTAAGATTTTCTGAGGAAGCAGTACTCTTTGATTTTTCTCTATCACTGATGGCGTGCTCATCATCTTGGGCAAGTAGCTGAGCCTGCACGGCCAGAAAATTCAAAACGCGCTCTCTGACATATTAATAAGGTAAAATATGTTGGGTAACTTTGTGAAACAAATTCAAGTAAGTTAGTTCAAATTTAGTGTTTCAGTTTGAACAATTACATTGCAAACAATAAAGCACTGCATGCCCATCCTAGGTTCAGAGGATGTCACACTAACTTGATTACAACATAACAACTTAACAAGATAGTCATAAAGATCTCTATTAAAACTCTTGCTAAAAAGCGATCATCATGTGAGCATTCGGCCTAAAACTTGAGCAATCTAGGTATGTTAAGAGTCAAACTAAACCAAACCTTAATCTAAGTTTTCTACCGCCACCTGAAATGAAAAGGAAAAAAAACCAGTTTGAAAATTTTTTTCTTCCAATTTGACCCTTTTGATAACAGTGTGCTGTACAAGACAAATACTGCTGTTTGCAGCAAGTCTATACATACCTTGAACACATACCCAGATTTTACCCACTAAAGCTTATACTGAGAAAAATCTTAAAACCTTAATATATAGGTGCTGAAACAGAAAGAAGTCAGTATCTTTGCCTTGTGTGCAAGTTAGTAAAAGTCGGACAAAAAATATTTTTCTGTGACGTCTCAAGTAGCATCTTGTAATGTAATTTTTGGTTAATGATCTTGTAACATATCAGCACATTGTTAAGATCATTATGTGACAGTTAAATCAATTTTTTTGGAGTTATTATCCCAAGAGACAACTATTCTGCATTTCTGCTTAACTCAGCAGATAGCATTGTTTGTCAATCTTAATCGGCATTGGATTCCACCAATGTGGAACTTATGAGGAAAGCTCAAAACAGGAAACTGCTGGAAGAATCTACAGGTGTGAAGGGGATCAATTCACTTTCTACCAATCATGTTCAATAATTCTAGAGAATGTGTCAAATAAATATTAATTCCTTCTGAATTGCCTTACAATGAACGCTTAGGTCCCTAGTTGCAAATTACAGCTTAATAAAACAATTGATGTCCCCTTCATGCACAATGTGTATAAGAGTAGGAGAAGGAAAAAAACAATAATTAAAATAACAAAGTACTCAAGAGGAAAGAAAGCGACATCTTTTGTGAAACCTAATAGAGTTCCATAATCCAACTAGATGATTTCAGAGATGAGCAGCATACCTCGGCAAGGAGAAGCCCGATTCTATTATCTGAAGTTGCCAGGAGGTCTAAAGCATCAGATAGTGATGAAGAATTAACCGTAAATTTATCTTCTCCTTCCGCAAGAAACTCAATGCTGCATTCTTGTAGCCGATGACGAAGTACTTCACATTCATGTAGGAGCTTCTTTCTTGAAGATTTTGAGTGTGACGACTTTTGCTTCTCACTTTGAAGAACTTTCTAAAAATATTTTCATATCAAAGAGGTAAGTAACATCAATCAAAAGAAAAACTTTAGGATTTGTGAAGAGTCGCGATTAAAAACAAAGTAAAGTTGTGGTGAATCAAAGAGGTTAAAGACAATAAATCAAAAAAAAAAAGATACAGAAAAGAAAAGAACTAAAACAAACTGTGAGCACTTGAATAATCATAGATCTCTCTCGTGATGTGATTCCACAAAAGAGTATATAACGCTAGAAATGATGAGCGTCACTATTAAAAAAATGAAAGCTAACTTATGGTGAATCAAAGAATTTACAACAAATCAGAAAAGAAAAGTAATACATCAAACTGTGAGCCTTGAATTTAACCAGACAATATTGACCTCCCCGGTCACATGATTCCATAAAAGAATATATAGGGATAAGGAGACCAAGGTCTGCGAGAACATTGTAGGCATATAATCAGCTCAAACCTCCAACTGAGAAAACAATGTGATCTCCAGTTCTCCACCAATATCATGTAGAAACCTAACACTACAGCTTAGTTTCTTTTTTGTCCCATGTAGTTCTCTGCCAATCTCAATCACTGCCAGGCAGAAGCTAATATACTCTAACAAAATCTTCAGCTGACTTTCTGCTTCTGCTCTTTTATCATTTATTAATAATTATTAGCTAAAGGAGTCACTGGATCATTTCCTCCTCCTGATGAGATAATACAGAGACTGTGAGTGACCTTTTCTTGTTGGGTGCATTAACAACCAGCTACAAGTATAAGGTAGGCAGCAATTCATACAGGAGAAATACCATGATGAAATGCGAGGCGTGGGAGATCTACATATTTCTGTTTAACCACAAGACATAGTTCCTTGACTTCCCCATTTTATTTTGTTGCAAGACATTAACATGCTGCTAACCTTTGTCTGGAAAGAATTAACAGTTATATATACCTATAAACAATCTCAGTGAACCTTCAAATTGTTGTTGGGGGTCAAGAAAGAGACGGTCAGTACTGTAATCATATAAGAAGCAATTCAAAAAAATCTATGCAGTTATCTTGAGTACAGATTATTCTTACATCTACCGTTTTAGCTAAGGCATGACTGTGAAACATGAGAGATGCTAGCCATTCTCCCATTCTCAGCACACAAATTTAATATGGCATCGCTGCTTTCATAAGCATGCAATAACACCCAGATAAAAAATGTATTCTTTCAAGGGAAACCTATACTTTACCTCTAGATCCGCCTTTTCTTTCATAGATTGATTTAACATTTCCTTTAGCTCTCTCTGTGAATTCCTCAAAAACTTAACCTCTTTCACAAGAACTTTAATATCTGCTTTTGATTTCATCTCCACATCTTCTAGATGCCGTTGCAACTTATCTATCTGTTCTTGTTTGCTATCCAAATCTTCCAATAACAGATCTTTATCACTGCTAGCACTTAATTTTTCTGACTCTGCACGAGTCTTCTCACTCTGCAATAAAGCGAAAAAGAAAAGAAAAGAGGTGAAACCACTGTAGTGCTAAGTGAAATTTTTTAAAACACTAGTTACTAGAAGAGATGAAAAAACAAACTTGTTCGATCTTGAGTTTTGACTCCATCTCTATGTACTTCCTACGAAGTTCATCCATATCCCATTGCATTTGAGTAACTCTTTCTCTTTCAATTAACATGGCTTGTTGCAGATTTTCTTTACTCTTCTGCTTGGTGGCTTCTAGCTCCCCCTCTAAATCCTTGACCTATAGAATTTTCAATTGCAGTAAAATGATATTAAATCGCTGTCAAAAAGATGAACCTTTACTCATCAAGAAACTGAGTGAGGCTAAGAAGATCATAGGGGGAAAAAAGAAACCCTGCAACCAAACTTTTGGCAGCTAACTGGAGTAGCTGTACATGGTTTCAACTTCCCAGAAGCAACAAGAACTAATTTTAAAAAGCAATGGGATGTGTAGAAAGCAAGTTAACTAAAATTTTTGAAATTTATACCACAAAGAAAAGATGGAATTACAAATGTTGAAAAGAATGTGAATATAGAGAATAACCAAAGAAAAATGGGGGCAGAGACGCACCTTTGTTGCAAGGTATTCTTTCACAGTCATCTCTTGATTTAATCTTGCTATGAGATCCTCCATATCCGTTTTTGCAGTCAATAATCTCTGATGCATGGTGACAAGAACTCTATTTAGTTTGTGTCGTTGATCAAGAGGGAGAATAATCTGTGCATCCTTCACAAACTCTGCACTGATGCCACTTTGAGCCTCTCTGCCAGTAAGATCAACAGAACCATCCCACACTGAAGTAATACCCCCAGGAACTGATAGTTCACTGCCCCTTAGTGAACTTGCATCACTACAAATACTATCAACAGAAAGTTTACGAGAATGACCAGAAAGCTTATCATGATCTTGTTCTGGCATGAATTCTATTCTCTCCCTCGAAAGGGATGCCTCCCTTGAAGGATTTCCATAAAAAGACTCCCCGTCAATAGAAAGGCTCTCTTTTCTTTGTTGCAATTTTATCCTAAGAAATTCTTCTTGTCGATTAAGAGCTGATTCTCCCATAAGGACACCATTACTGACTTCTGCGATTGGAGCAGAAAAGTCATGAACTGATGAAATATATTCTTTGCGGGTGTCAGATGCATGAACAATCCCCTGAGAAGAAGTTCCTACATCTGATGTCTCATATGCATAATCACTACCCATGTCTGAAGTTGCTGAATGACAATTAGAAGCTACAGCTGAAGAACCAGCAACAGAAGCACCTGAGCCTGTTCTTTCTGGTGGTGATGAAGGAGTAAAAGAAGCCTCACCCAAATGGCGCGTTTCTAAGGAAAGCTGGCTTGTGTCCTGAAAGGCTGACAACGTGTAAGCCAAAATGTAAGTGCAAGTACCACACAAAGAAAAAGGTTAAATAACACCAAGTCTAACAGAAAAACAGAAGGCCACTTTAGGAGTGTGTATATGAGAAAAACTAAATCCTGAAATAAATTTTCAGACTCAAGCTCAAGAGAAGAAGCCACAAGATATAATAAGAGAAACACCTACACGATCTTGCAGCAACCTCTAGCTCAAGGAAAGCAGCCACAGGAGCACTTCTAGACAGGTCAATATCAGAGAGTAGCTTCCCCATCCATTCCTCCAGAGCACGCCTTCTCTGCAGAAGAACTATCAGTTTTGAGAATCATTAATCACGAAAATGGAAAGTTTTTTCAAGGAAAGATGATTAAAAATATCAAAAACACACTTCAAACCTTTAATTGCTAAAAGCAAAATCTACATCCCAAATGAATTGTTTTCTCATGAAAATAAAGCAATATTACTTCATAACAAAGTTCTAAGCCTAATATTATTCTTTTCCTGAGTTTTAAAGTTCTACATATTACCAATTATGAATAACATAATCAATTGATTAATAATATAATGGTCTATGAAAACAGCAGGACGATGTAAAATATTATCAAAATGTTTTAGTCATAAACAAAACGGGTATTTTTTTTTAAAAAGACCTTTTTTGCTAAATAATTAGCAAAACCGACCGTTTTGCTAATTATTTAGCAAAAACGACCTCTTTTTGGCCAACAGGCCAAAAAGATGTCGGTTTTGAAAAACTGGTCATTTGAAACATACGGGACTAGTGGTCCCGTATGTTTAGACCATTAATTACCGACTAATAATCACGCCACAAAATCTACGGGACTACTAGTCCCGTAGATTTTGTTGCTTAAGCAGGACCCTAAGCCGAAGTCCTCTCCCTCTTTTCCTGGCTCAACTCCTCCTCCCCTCCCCTCCCCGACTAGGACCCCGCCTCCCCCTCCCCCTGCAACTGGACCTCCGTCACCTGCAGCCCCACCTCCGGCAGGGTCACCTCCATTACCCTCAAGTCCCTTCCCCTCACCCTCCCTCTCCTTATCTCCACTCATGGAGAGCTAAGCAGCTCAAAAATGGGCTTGATTCTATTTCGTAACTTTGACCTGAATAAAATTGGGTCAGCGCAAGCAAGGCTTGCAAATTCAGAGGAAGAGAAACCAGCATCCATGAAAAAATCGATTTTCGGCTTCGGGGCATTTTCGACACTTGACAGAAGAAGCCTCGCGTTCTTGGTGATGAGTTTTGTGACCTGGGTATGGGGCCCGTTAAGAAGTTGGAGCTGAGGTCGAGGACCGACAGGTGGCGGTAGGAGGAGAGGCTCGGAAGGATGTTGCCAGTGAGGTTGAGCGGAGAGAGTGAGAGGAGAGGAGGGAGTGGAGCAAAAGGGGAAGGGGGTGAGGAGGCGAGGGAAGGGGATAAGGGAGTAACGGAGTCAGTTTGCAAGGAGGGAGGCGGGGTTAACACGGGAGGGGGAGGAGATTAGCCAGGAGAAAGGGAGTAGGAGCTTTCGAGGTTAGAGGCAGGGAGGAGAGGACTCTCTTGGGTATCCATGACTGTAAGCAACAATCAAAAACTACGGACTTAGTAGCTCCCCGTAGATTTGCTGGCGTGATTATTGAGCGGTATTAATGGTCTATACATACGGACTAAAGACATATGTAATTGCAAATGACCCCGCAGTATTCTTAAAACTGTATGTCCAAAAAGCAGTGACCATATTTTTTTTGCTAATTAGTTGTAGCAAAAAAGGTCTTTGTTTTAAAAATCCTAACAAAAGTATATCTAGCAAAACACAAGCAGCCGCCTCAATGGTTATCCCGCTCATCAAAAAAGAATACTAAAGCTTATTTGAATGCTTAATACTTGAAAAAACAAGCGCAGAGTGTTATTGCTTATATCATATCTTTTTGATGCCGGATAAAGCTATCAAGACTATTGGCTGAAAGTATTAAGAGGCTTTAGGAAAAGAAAGAACAAGAACAATGTGCTTCTTATAATTATTTTTCTGACGTGTAACACTGATACAAATACTTGACAGAAAGAGTGTCTAAGAAATAACCTTCAGGATTTATTACAAAAACAAATAGTTTTTCCGCATGAACAACAACCTCAGCAAATCCATTTAGGACTACAAAGGAGATAGTAATGTAACTGTGATCTCTTCACCACCTCAAATATATCCCTCGCTAACATTCGTAGAAAATTTTTCATGAGGTAACAATATATTATAGCATCAATAACTATTTGTGAAATGCTTCTGTATGATTCTTCAGAGCCTTGAAGAATTACATTAAGTTCCAAAACATCTGAGATATAACTTTAATATTAATAAAATTTCAAATATTAGTTTCTAAGACCAGCTAGCCTAAATTATCAAGAAAGATGCAGGCATGACAGGGGTAGTCCTCTTCCATGTTGAAATTTGTGATGTGTAACTAATTTGAGAGACAGCACTGTACAAAGCAATCCTGCTAAGGAAAAAAAGACTTGAACCTTTGATTCCCACTGGACCAAACAATACAGTGTTAAATAAATGGGTAACTAATTAGTACCCAAAGGGATTTTCGTCATCGTTGTTAGTCGATAACTAGTACATGAACTGCATATTAATTGGTCTTCGCCAATAGTTAGAGGTTTCCACTTTGAGCATCTCAAACATGTGAAATTGCAAAATTCATTCTCACAATTCTAGTGTTGACTACTCAACTAGCTCCTCCCCTACTCCAGTTTTGGACTGCTATTTTCATCACCTTTTAGTCTCTACTTTTATAGTTGATAATGGTTCTTGATCTCTCTTGTTCAATGTTCGATGCATCAAGCAGCGAACTAGTACTCCCTCGAGACATCATTTGCATGTAGGCCATAGCCTTCTCCATGTAAAACCATTTGGAAGAAAGTAGTGATTACACCTAGAAGGATGTAGCACATTCTCCGACACAGAATAATTATGCGCAAGGAGAACCCCACCCCTCCCATGCAAACACCCAATAAATAAATAAACAAATAAAAGGATGAAAAAACTTACACCAACAAGCAGAACCCAGAGTCCGCTGGTCTTGGTTCATAAAGTATAGCCCTTTAGAAGTCTTCTCGTACTTAAACATTTTCTTATCAAGTGAGAAGACAACCGTTTTATACCCTTTGACCATAATTTTGGGTGATGTAACTGGTCTAGAGCCAATATTATTTATTTCCTTGAAATGTTAATTTAGGTCAGCATTGACAACAGCTGGAACATTGAATAGGAATCATAGGTTAAGAAATATTACAAATGTTTTTTTGCAGTTAGTTTGCAGTGTCCTTTGTGATATTTCACATCCAGGAAATTTTGATCTAATAAATGATGAAATATAATGATCTGCAAAGAAAACAATATGTCTAATGTATTCCTGGTGGCCATTTCAATTTGTGATGTATAAATGCTCACATAAGGATATGGATGTAGTGGTAGATTAAAGTGTATATTGAAAAAAGTTATCAAGGATCGATGGTTACAAAGGCTATGCTTATGTTTATGGACAACAGTATGATAATATTTCAATTAAACAAAAGGGTGTTTACAAGCTTTAAGCTTAGTATGAGCAACTAAGGTCTCTATCTATTAATCTACTTTGAAGATGTGGAACCCGTTTCCTATGTTAAGAATATTCCAAATTGTGCCTAAACACAAAGCTTGTGCCATACAGAAACTGAAGCACATTAAATCATTTAAACATTTTGAATTATTCATAGACATGGTTAACAGAATATCCATGTTAAAACTGTATGAAATTATCCAGGAAGTAAGTTATTAAAAAAAATCTGAATTCAGGTTGAGCTGCACAGAATGGAAGTAACCAAGAAAATTAGACTGCAACTGATATCATCAAAAACCATAACTGCAGAGTAGAAGTACGTTTATTTTCAAAGCCTAATAATAGTATAGAAAAATTTAGGTTGAGCATCAGCAAACCTCCTCGAGGAGTAGCCTACTGGAGTTTATTCTCAGCAAAGTATGCTTCGGTGGAGCTGGGGGGATGTCCTTCTTTGGAAATGCTCTCTTAAGCTACAAAAAGAATATAACTGTTAAAAAAAATGACAGAAAACTCGAAGATATAAACACAAAAACATAGAGTATTAAATCTAATATTCCTGTTGAATGCTTTGGCATGGTTAAGAAACAGCAACCAATTACTTTCCTAGAATGGTATGCATCTTATAGCAAAAAATGCTAACTTCCAAATTGAAAAAAAATTAATGTAAAATGAGCCCAACATTCAGTTGTATTAATTACAACTCTGCATCCGACTCATTAACCAATCAAAAACTACTTCTTTGTCATGTATAGCATACTCAGGGCTACCGCTTACGACATTTACTAATAAGTAGTGATGACGCAGATTAGATGGAGAACAAAAGCACATTATGAGCTAAATATAAGATATTGAGTGAATTTGAACTTACAGAAGAGTATAATTCCAAGAAATCACTGAACCTATGAAGTATTCCATGGATGTAGCTAACCCCTTCTGGCGATTGTATACCAACTTGAATCCTGTAAAACTGTCTTTTAATGATGTTAAAGAATATAAAGGAGGAGATAGAATTATTATTATTATTATTATTAAACTCCAAATTCAAATAAGCTGTCAAATGCAGGACCAACTCGCATTGTGCAAGGAACTTTCACAGATATAAATCTTAAATGAAAGGAAAAACTGATAAGCAATCACATCTCTAAAAAGGATACATTTTAAATTGCAAGCATAAATTATACCCAATCTACAAAGAACAAGATAGAATGATTTGCTCAAAAGTCAAAAGTGACCACCCTATGTTGCTGTATGTCCACTTAAGGTGACATATGCTTGAAATATTGAAATCTCTCACAAGATCCATAACATCATATGTGATGTTATGTGATTCTGATCTTATTTAGGACCCCTACTAAATGCTGAAGTTGCAGAATTTTCAAATGCAAGAAACGCCAAAGATTACCAGCTATGAAGCACGGACACGCATAACATGAAGCCGTGCCGTGTCGTGTCCGTGTCGGACACACGTGTCGAACACACGTATCCTATGTATTTTTTAGGATTTGCCTCGTGTCGGCGTGTCGGATGGCCGTGTCGGATCCGTGTCCGTGCTACATAGATTACCAGAGGTTCTTAAAAAGTTGTGACTGTAGCAAGCACAATCAGTGCATACAAACACAATATATGCTGAATCATACAGGTTAATGCATCACCAATCCCTACTGATTATAGACTGTAACCATGATGACACTCCAAAAAAACGTTTTAATCTCATCCTTCAGATGTTTGTATTGAATTATTTAAAAGGAAATACACAGTTACAGATAGAAGCAAGACCATGATGATATAACACCCTAACATGTATGAGTGCAGCTCATGCATTGTCAACTTTCGAAAGAAAAATCAAGAGGAGTCCTTCTCTCTGCAGTGTCTTGTAGCTACTCATTGCTTTGCTTTACTGACACTAGTATTCTAATGCACGCCACACACAGAAGTAGTGGAAATTTAAGTGAAGGTTGTTGAGGGATTTGGTAATCTGTAATATGAGAAGGAAGTGGGAATGGGGAATTGTTAAGGAAGTTTGTTAGGATTTTTTAATGGGTTTTTCTATGTATGTCCTTCACATCAAACTTGAAGTACTCTTAACTTTTCAGGGCATGTTTAATTTCTTAAAAATGACGCTCACATGACCAAAAGCCTGAATTCTTTTAAATAATAGTAATACATTCTCTTAAATTATGAAACTAGCAGGGCCTTGGCCATTCAGCTCTTAGACCTAAACACGGGGCCTCCTTAGAGGGTGAATGGAGATCAGGCGGAAATGAGTAGAACCAGAAAATGCAAAGGTGTACTGAGATAATTCATATACATTTTTTTGATCTTTGTCCATGTCCCGCATATATACTACCTCAGCACTCTGGTTCTCTGAAAGATGACTACTATGGAAGAATAGCAGGTTGCGCTTAAAGCTTATTGTACAATCATAACGGCTACTTCTGTTAAAACTTGTTGTCAGTCGCAATAAAGGCTAAACGTTGAAGTCACAAAAGACCTAGTATTACTTTTAATTCCCCACTTTGCCATCAAGTTGGAGTAATAGCTGGAAAAACAGTATTAGTTATCTCTGCATATCTGCTACCTGAGCAGTATGTACGATATAAGCAGCAATATAAGGAAGAAAGAGGAAGCAAGAAACCCCTTGCTAAAATGCATGGGTCGAGTAACTGGAGTAGGTCCCTGATTTTGATCATCCGTGTCATATCTGACCAGTAGCAGACAAAAGTTCGAAGAATTAAAGCAAATACATTCAACCTAAGTTGCACAGAAATGGGTATGGGTACCGGCATGGTTGCGATGGGTACAGGAGACGGCATATTTTTAAAATATGGAGTACGGGGACATGACTACATATATATATTGAAATTAATAATTTACATGTGATCATTATTATTTTCAAGTTGCTTATTATTAGAATTAAGATTCCTACCACATTCTTAGGTTTCTTTTATTATGTGGATGATTATAAATGGGAAGCTGCTCGTTTTTTAACTAGACACGCAAACGACTTTCAACTCATAATTTTAAACTTGCATATGGGCTGAAACAAACCTAAACCATGTCTAACGAGTTTCAAAAAATGGATATGAAATGTAGCAAGAAGTGTATGTAAGTGTTTTATATTAAAACATATATCATATAATTGAATACATGTCCGAATAAGTGTATGCATGTATCCAAGGAGTTTCCATGAAGTTTGGGTATGGAAATGTGTCAGGTACAAGTACGGCTTCATGATAGGAGCAGCCGGGTAACATAGCCTTCAACACTTGATACCTAAGAATAGGTACAGAATTGAACCAAAGACCTTCAACTCTTTTGAGCCATCCAATGCTAGATGTAGCTTGACCAGATCATCTAACAAGATATTTCATTAATACATAACAATATGGAAGAACCTATAGCTCCAATACTTTGTAGTCATAATATACATGAATCCGATAGCTGGACACTTGATAGATATATCGTATATGTGTTAGATACTTCTTTTCACCTTGTCCTAAATTTGCAAATATTCTAGATTACCATACATGTAACCAACACTAGAAAGTAATTTTAAAAAAACCAATTGAGTGATGACTAACAATTTAATTTATTTCAAATGCGTTGTACTTATACAAGTTTCCAGCTTTAGGATTGTTCAAATAATCAATAAAGACGCTTGTACAACTTTATTTTTGCTCTATCCATGACGTATTGGTATCCTAAATTTAGAATCTGAGATAATCTCTTTACTTGTGTAGTCATAATGTATTGTTTCATGTCCATGTGTATTTAACTAGTGTAAATGTTCTAAAAGTTTGTGCATTCATGTTTCATGTCGTATCATACTCATATCATGTATTCATGCTCATGCTACAACGGGAAGAACTAACGTACAGAGTAAAGAAAGTTAACTAAAGATATAAAAAGAGTGAATAGAGAACGTGCAATTTTGCAAGTAACAAAATTCACCCAATTTAACTTGTAAACCCACTGTTGCTTTAGCTCCTCCACAAAGGGAGCATTTTTAATTTCAGATATATGTCAGAAAATGTTTAATGGATATTAAAACAATTTTCATGTCAACATGATGAGAGAGGGAAAAAAGCCAAAATAAATCTTACAATGATAGGATTCAACAAGCTGTCAGTAGACGCTTTTGATTTGGTTTGGACAACCCAGGAAGGAACCATAACACAATAACTCCAACCTGTCCGTGGATCATGTGGCCACACAGTGTTTCTCCCCTCCTACATCACATGTGCATATCATTCAAGTGACCAACAGAAACTGCTTAGGTTTGATAAGATATATAGGCAAGATTGATAATTGCAACCCAACTTGAGAATCAAACAAAAAGTGCAACTTGGAAGCTGTTGAAGTGTGGATTACCAATTATAAAATTCAAGAATAAGATGTAAACAACCATTGAGTTACAAAATCAAAAATTTTAACCAATGCTAGTAAAGTAATTCCAGAATAAGGCAAAATGTATTATTTTTAAATATCCATGGGAACTGTAACAATAATACCTACAAAATTAAATGAGAATAGAAGATCGTGGAGTTGGCATGTAAGATGTAGACTAGGTTCTCTGAAAGTAATTAAGATCCAATCCTCTCTGTGAACATGGCTTTCCATTAGGTCAACATTGCAAATAATCATAAAAGAATAGGTGCCTTGTAAAGACCTGAACAGCGAACTATAGGAGATGTGCATTGCCAGGGATTACATCAAGTATGTGGAGATGAGAGCGGTTAAGTTTGATGTAGAGGATAGTCTATACACCCTACAGCAAGTTCAAAATTATCTGGTAAAGTCTAATTAGAATCTTCTGATTCATAACTTGGCCAACTTGATCTCTGGATCTTTCATCAATTACCTGGATAGCTAATCAAAAATCCAAAACCTAAAGTAATCCATAGATCTGGAACCAGATTCCTCTCTAATCAACAGAGTATAAGTCCTCGGTAACTTGAGTTAGATCACAAGGCACGATTGCAGTCTAAAAGAAGAAAAAATTGCAGATCGATCATCCAACAAGGCACACGATCCAAACACTAGGATAGACTACAGGACCTAGGATCATCCAGGATCGAAAATTTAAGCAGGAAACATATCACGGATAAAATTCAGCTCAAGCAACATATCTAAAATCAGTAAAATTGCTCAGTAACTCGAGTTAGATCGCGAGCCACAATTGCGATCCTAGAGTAGAAAATTTCAGATCGATCATCCACAAAACACGCGATCCAAACCCTAGGATTAGCTACACGGTCCACGATCGTCCAAGATCGCAAACATAAGTACCAAATTTTCACAAAAAAAAACTATGAATCAGCCAAAATTCAGCACAGTTTACAAATCTAAAATCGTAGATCAAGAAAAAAACGAAAGAGGTACCCATTTCTTAGGCGGCGGGCTCCAATCCATCCCCAAGGGGAGCGGCGAGGTGCCGTCGTGGCGGTGCTTGGGCGGGCTAGCTCTTTTCATCTCCGATTTCTTCTTCTCTTCTTCTTTTTCTAGGGTTTGATTGGATTTTGATCGGAGAAAATTTTGAGGGGGCGAGAAAAAGGAGAGAAGGAATTATCGAAGATTCGTCGGCGCGCAGTAAAGCCAACGAACTGTCCTCGGTCGCTCGCACACAGATGACAGGTGTGAGGCACGTGCAGGCGATTGAGATCGAAGTTAAATAAAGTTAGTTTGGGTAGGAGTTTAACCGGAGCGCGGTTTCTTCCAGCTAATACCCAAAACGCATGCGTTAAGTAATAGTTCCATATTTTGAAATTAGTCCCTTATATCTTCCATATTCTGAGTTAGTCCCTCAAACCACGGAAATTGCTCTTAGGTCTCTCATTCGTGAGTTTTTATGAATTAGTCCCTTAAATCACTGAAATTGCTATTGCATCCCCTAATTCCTAAGTTATTTTGAAATTAGCCCCTCCAATGAAATTAGACAAAAATTAGTCCCTCTAATCATCTAAACTTCTATTAGGTCACACAATTCTAATAAATTGTTTTAAACTGATCGCTTTAATTGCTAGTTCTACTATTCATTTAAGGGACTAAGTCAAAACATCTTATGAATAGAGAGTCGTAAATAGCAAATTGCATTATTTTAGGAAGTAAGTCTAAAATATGAAGATCGAAGGACTAACTTACAAAAGAACCCTAATTTACTAACAAAATTTGTGAAAATCATGTTTTATTAATGAGTTTAAAGTATAAAATCAATCCTTCTTAATTTATTGGGGTTTTGGATACTAGTCCATTAAATCTTCCGGACACACTTTATTTTGACAGTCCCTCAAATCATGGACCTTTGTATAAGGTATCTTAATTCATAAGGAATTTTGAATATAGTCCCTTAAATAATTAAAAGTGCTATTACATCCCTAATTCTTAAGTTATTTTGAAACTAATTCCTCCAATCAAAGAGTAAAAGTATCAGTTAGAGAGAAGTTAGTCTCTCAAATCATCCAAACTTTTATTAGGTCACACAATTCTCATAAGTTGCTTCAAACTAATCCCTTTAATTGCTAGTTCTACTATTGACTTGAGGGACTAACTTGAAAATAGTTTAAGAATTGGAAGATCTAATAGCAATTTTATGATTTGATGGACTATATTCAAAATATCTTATGGATTGGGGGATGTAATAGCAAAATAGCATTACCCGTGGGACTCATTCCAAAGTACGGAAGACGTAAGGGACTAATATAAAAAAAACCTAATTTATTACAATCACATCATCATATTACATCACGTATACACTATGCACATATCTTCAAGTAAAAATTTTTTAAAAAAAACTTCTAAATAGCAGATACTTCTAAAATTACACCGACGGATAGTTGACGTATGTAAACTCAGATTTGAACGACTTTGAAAAATAAAAAATGAATTCGCATTTTTTTGTAAATATAAATACAATGAATGTGGACATTACTAGAAGAAGACTCTTCACCTACTTGTGACTTTTAGTATTCTCTTCCACATCTATATAATGTAATCCATGGAAGATAAAATGTATTGAGGAGAAATGAAGATGAATAAAATTAATCCATGGAAGATAAAATGTATTGAGGAGAAATGAAGATGAATAAAATGAGATGATCACTTTCTCCCCCTATCTCTTTTTCTTGTTTATTTACTTTTACATTTCATGTTCGGTTCTTACTTTTGATATGTGATGTATGTAGATACAACAACGGGATTACAACACGTTATCCGCACGAGTGGCTCTAGCCGGTTCGTGATCATCGGTTCGTAGTAATAGATTTTTAGGTGTACATTTTCTGCAAGGTAATAATACATTCGGCCTTTGTCTATTTACATAGTATCAAGCGTAAATTTGGTTCTAAACATTGTATTTTTGGAATATTAATAAGTAGCAGATAATATGTCTATAAAACCATTTTTGTGTCAAACATGAATTGGACATTACATTTCTTAACATGATGATTCTGTTTATATGAAATTTTTCTTTTCATGTTGTGTGTCTCTTAATCGGTTGTGTTATGTCCAGTAGTGTTGCATATGTTTGGATCCACGTTTGTTTTTAAAAATATAACTAGGATATAGGTTAGCTAGGTTTTCAAGTAAATCCAACTTTTGACGCTTAGAAAATGAGCATTTTGACAACTTTGTTGACCATATTATTGCTTCTATCTTGTCTCTCCATCTGTTTCCATTTTTCCCATTTCATATCAACATTACGGACAGAAAATAAAGAACACGTTATCAGGTTAAAAATTATCTTGTAAATGCTTGTACAAATGCATTTTACTATCTTGATATAGCATTTACCCTATTTTATCTGGTTCAAGCAACAATATAGTTCGTTACTAATTTACTATGTTTTCTCTGATAGTAAGGCTTAACTTGTATGCAAGCCTCGTGCCAATTATATGGTAACCTTGCTGACAACACAAATTTCTTGAGAATGAGTCCAACAAGTAAGATTTGAACCTGTTTGTTATACTATGCTCACTGTAACAAACAACGCAGGACCTTCTACTAGCTAAAAGTTTACAAGTATCATCTAAGGTTAACCTGAATGATTATGCATCACAACCGCAAATAGATATTGAAACTTGAGCAACCACTGGGAGATATATTAGCAATTCATAGACACCATGATCCTACGTATTTGTAGCTTTCTTCATCTTTTTGAAAATAACCATATGGATCAGATAATACTTACATGGAATCATTAAAGGATGATTGGTCTATCGCATGCATTTGGTAAGCATAACCATAATGTTTGTTTGGTTAATAGCGGATCTCCTACTAAATACAAAAAGGGATAAATCAAGATGGGGCACAAGCACTTAGTGTTCTGTTCATTGCTGAATTTGATGCAGCATAAAGTCATTAATATAGGAGTCTAAATTTTGATTTTAATTAAATATCATTAAAGAAAAATACACACATGCACACAGCTAGTTGTCACCAATAAGTTTCTTTATTCTTTTGATGAATCCATGAGTCTGTATATAAATCATATGGAATGTACCTCCTCTGTCACAGACATGTGGTATTGATATAATGTTTTACTATATAGATCATTAATTGTGTATGTTAGCTTTACAAATAAAGTGAACTTTTACCAAAAGACAAATGATTATATGCAGAAGTTCATACAGAGCATCAATCATGAAAAATTGTCATAATATATCAATTTGATGTTTTTGCTTTTATTCTATTTGCTTGCTTGAGTTTATGATGATTTTGGCGATTATGTGTGATCTTATTAAAATGTGAATATTTCTAATTTCTCATGCACTAATCTTTCGTCACCATGATTAGTGCACTGTGATATATGATAGTAATTATTACTTGTCTTTGGCCTTGAACGTTCATTTTTACTGACACCCTTGTGATTTTTGCACGATTATATCTCTGGATTCTTTAAGTATATTTGCCCAGAAGGCAAACACTTTAAAATTTTCTAAGACGTGAAAAAGTATTCACTTTTCTGGGCAATCCCTGAAGGATCACTTTGATCTATGGAAGCCAATAATTTGATCGAAAAATTCTTTTCCCTATTCCCCGCAAATAATATATTGTACTCCAGCAGCAGTACATGACCAAGAATTGCACTGAGCATTCTGAATTGATTAGTAGTCGCAGATAAGCATAATCAATTGATGATTAGAAATCACAATGTCAGACTAGTTGGCTTACGATTTGTGTTTGTAGCACATGCTACAATTCAGAAAATTACTTATACGCGTGGACAAGAGGGAGTCTATGAACATAGTAGAAGATCTTATCATGTAGCCATTTTTGGATTTTAAACCCTCGACTGAATACAATTCAACAAGTAACATTGTACTCTTATAATAGTACAACTAAAAATTATATTAAGCATTATGAACTAATCATTGCATTAGTAGTTGTTAAAAATACAACCAGCTGTTGTGAGAAACCATAATGCAAGTTTAATTGGTTCAGTCGTAGTGCATGAAGCACATGTCATAATTCAAACTAATATTCATAAGCTTGGACGAGGGGAAGGTAATGGATTTTATCGAACTATTTGGTTTCTCTATATTTGGATTATATACATTTGTCAGACAATTTTAATTTATCTTGATTTTGCTTTAAACTCTTGTGAACCTATGTGGTTTTTATTCATATGTGTATATTTTAGAATTTATCTGACCTAAAATACACCATGTTGCGATAAGTTTGAGATTTAGGGACCCAAATTCTTTTAAATTCTGGCATGAGCGATTGGGTCATCTTGGGCAAAATATGATTTGTCGGACTTTCTTAAATTAAATGGGGGCATTCAAACCAAATCCGACCAACTGCATATCATAATTTTCCCCCTTTATCTAATACGTGGTGAAGAAGCAAAACATTTCTCATCTGTGTATTCTTTATTTGCAGTCCATGTTTCTATATCACCACCATAGCGTACCTCTATGGGACCTCAGTGAAGGTACATACATTATTTATGAAACTCCGTCAATAATTTAGTACCTATGGCCCATATTAGGGGATCAATTTATAATTTAGTACGCTGACTGTATTTTTATTGAAGATCAATTCTCGACATTAGGGGGAGATTAGTGCCCAAAATACAAAATAATGTCAAGAAATTCCATTAGTGAAAATGATCTTCAATATTTATATCCACGTACTAGTCAAACTGAACCAGAAGTTTACATGATAATCTGCCAAGAAAAGAGTGACTAAGCCCCATATTCATGTTAAATATATCATTGATTATTTGGTATGCCAGAAGCATATTGTGCCAGAAGCATATAAAACATGTTAGTGTAAAAGATAAAAGTCTGCGGCAAACTAAATTATATATAGAAAGACAGTCACTCCCATAACCTCCGGAAGAGGCTTGTCCTGAAGACGAAATCTCCAGTAAATTGCACGTGCACTTGATAATCACAATACTGGAGATGCGGAACGGCCAAATCCAAACGTTAAGGGAAATGGCGAGGATTTGGTTGACATAAAATAAGAATTAAAGTGGCCACGAATTTGTGAAAAATGAGAAATATATAATATAAATATAAAAGTTGTCGACAACATAGTTGCCTCTACAGTTGCTCTTACTATCTCTGAAAATAATCTGGATCCAGAACCTAAGTCGGTAGTAGAGTGCTTGAAGCATTCGGACTAGGTGAGATGGAAA